CTCCTTCTGTGTCCTCACCCTGGCAGTAAACCTGGCTTGCTTCTTTACCAAGAAAACTGAATCTCTTACAAGAGAACTTCTCCGGATGATCAACGCTTCTACCCACGTGGCTTCCAGGACACCACAATGTCTTGGCTTCCTTTCTACCTCAGAGATTCCTCCTCAGTCTCTTCTCCTAAATCTCTAAGTCTGTGTGGTCCAACATGTTAGCCACCAGCCTCATGTGGCTACAGAGCACTAGAAATGTGGCTAGCCTGAACTGAGACTGCTGTGAGTATTCAACATGTACAAGATTTCAAAGCCTTACTAGGAAAAAGAGAATATAAAATATTTCATTAATAATTTTTATAGTGATCACATGTTAAAATAACATTTTAGATATCTTAGGTTAAATAAAAATAGTTTAAAATTAATTTCATCTGTTTCTTTTTCTTTTTTAAATGTGACTACTAGATGACTGGAATGTGGCTCACGTTATATTTCTATCGTCAGCACTGCTCTGAATGTTGGGGTGCCACAGGGCTCAGTCTTTGATCATGTATTCTTTCTCTACTCTCACTCTCTCCTTCAGTTTTATGGCTTTAGATACTTTATATATGCCAACAACTCCCAGGCCTCTCTCCTGAGCTCCTGACTTGTGTATCCAACTCCTGGCTCAACTTCTCCACTTGGAGGTTTAATATACGTCTCCAACTGGCTCTCCCCTCGACCTTCCCCATCTCAGTTGATAGCACCTCTGTCCAACTGTTCAAGAGCAAAGCTTGGAGTCTTCTTTAACTCCCTTCTTTCTTTCCAATGCCACCTACATTTCTTCCAGTGGGCTTATATTCAAAGTGTACCAAGAATCGAACCATTTTTCACTATGACGGGGTTCAGGATACATTACCTGCAAATATGGCACCTGGGCATATTGAATATTTTAAGCTGAAGAACTTTGAGAAAACAGTAGCAGCAGGAAGGTCACTCTGACCTCCCCCCACCCCTTTTCTCCTGGAGCAGGTCCTAAGACCCTCTGTGAGAGGTGCCCTCCCCACACCTGGAGGAAAGGAGCATTCTTATCTCCAAGAGGAGCGACGCAGAGAAGAACCTGAATGAACAGGCCTTGTTCAATCTTCCCCAGTTTACCACACTTAGCTCATACTCTTTGCTCTATCATATCTTTTCACTAGTCATCAAACCTCGTACTAAAAACACTCAGGTTTAGCTATTTTTTCAGGTCTTCATTTCCTTATGAAGGCTCTTGTGTCATGTGAAATGAATATGTATGCTTTTCTCCTGTTAATCTTCGTCAGTTTAATTTTCAGGCCCAACCAGGGACCCTAAGAGAGTCAAGGAGAACTTTTTTCTCCCCTACAAAGACTTTCCTTGTTACCACTTCTTGCCTGGATTACTGGGATAGTAACAGGTCCCCCAGCTGCTACCCTTGTGTCTGCACAGTCTGTTCTCAACACAGCACCTGAGAGATCCTTTTAAAACTTAACTGAGTGCTGTCACTTCTGTTAAAAATCCTGCCGTGACTCCTCCTGTCACTCCAAGTAAGAAGCTCACTGACGGCGGGCCTCAACCCCTCCCCGCCCCATCCCCTCCGGCTCCCGTTCACCCTGCTCCGGCCACACCACGGCTCCCTAATACACCAGGCAGGCTCCTGCCTGGAGGTTTTAGAATTAGTTGCTCCCTCTGCCTGGAACGTTCTGCTTTTAAATATGTACATGGTTGAAAACCTTGGATATTCACATGGCTGAATATCTAATTCGCTTCCTTCAATTTTTTGTTCCGATGTCACATTCTGAAGGAGGCTCCTCTGTTTGAAATTGCAACTTCCCTCCCCACTTTCAATCTCTTTACTCCCATCTACTTTTGCTTTTCCCCAAAGTACTTACTTATCACCTCCCAGTATCCTGTACAATTGACTCATTTGTTATGTTTATTGTCAACCACCCCCCTTGGGTCCAGCTGCAGTGGAAGCTCCTGCAGGGCTAGAAGTTGTGTCTCTTTTGTTTCCTGATCACCCTACATGCTTACAGCAGCGTCAACACAGAGCAGACACTCAATCCATATCCGCTGAATGAACATCAGGCTAACCAGAGTATGCCGATTATTCTCACAAGGTGCAATAAGACAAATTCCAGTTCAGTGTGGCCAAGCTGGAAGCAGAAAAGAAAAGCAGAACCACAAATATGATTCTGAAATCCAAATCAATAAATCAATTCCTCACCAGGCCCAAATGCAGCCGACCAAATGCTCTGATTTGCCCCTTTGTTTTTTGAGACTGGTTGATACACTTAATTGAGAAAAAGTGGGATCCTGAAAATCTCACTGGGAATATGGGGAAAGCATCAGGAATTGCTGAAACCCTGACCAGGCCCCCTAAACGGCATCTTTCCATGCCTGCCTTTGCTGTGAGAGGGCTCCCAGGCCAAGGCTAGGAATGGAATGCAGTTGGGGGGCAAGGGCAACATTCCTGGGGAGATTAGAGAAGATAGGTTCATTGTAACCTCCTTTCTATCTATTTGTTCTGGGTCTATGCCTGGAGGCTAAGGCCATTAAGCAGAAAACAATTGGGGATGCTAAGAAAAGGAAAATCAGCAGTCCTGGCTCAGGCTTTATTTTTCAGCTCAGTAGGGATTGGGGTACACAAGGCAAGACCCAGCAATGTTACTAACATTCTTTTATCCATAAACAAATATTTATTAAGCTCCTATTATGTGTCAGATACATTCTTGGCCTTGAGGAAAACAGTGGTGATTAATATAAGGTCCCTGCTTTCATGGAACTTATGTTCTGGTTGGGGAAACAGAAAATAATCAAGTGAAAAATGACTATAATAATTTTAGATCATGATACATTCTTGGTAGGCACTAAGAGCAAAATAAAAATGGAAATGTGATGGGGGCTGGGCTGCTTTAGATAGGATGGGCAGGGAAGACCTCTCTGAAAGGTAACATTCACCTGAGATCTGGACGATGAAGAGGATCCAGTCATGCAAAGAACATGCAGGTAGAAAGAACGGCAGGCACCATGGCTCCGGGTTGAACAGCATGTACATGGAGGAGGAGGAAGCCGACGTGACTCAAGAGAGCGTGAGTGCGCAGAAAAGGGACCGCAGGTGAAGCTGGAGGAGCGGAGTGAGGTCGGATGGTGGAGGGGCAGACACTGAATGCTGTATCCTCATTTTAATTTCATAAATAGTACTCTGAATCGTAGGGACATTGAAAAACTAGTTCAATAGTGCAGGTGAAAGATAAGCACAGCTGGGAAGTGAGGTGGTGGTTGTGATGGAACTAAAAAGACATGAAGGGATTGAAGAGATATTAGATATTTTGGAGTATGGAAGACAAAATTAACCAAAGTAATTTCTATTTGACAGAGAAAAGTAAGACATGGATAACTGCGTACTGTCACACACCAGCATTTAGATACTTCTCCAAGTGGCAAAAATGAACATATTCATTAAAAACCCAATAGTCTTTCTGTAGCATAAAAATAAGAAGCATGTAAACTTAAAATTATACTTAGTAATCAGTATTTCAGTATTCTATCTTGGAAATGACCTAGGTGTCTAATGAATATCCATTAATTAACTCAATTTAGCACTATCAGTTCAAGGTTTTAAGTTCCCTAAGATCTTGGAAACTAACTTCAAATTAATTATTGTTAAAATAAAATTTGTCAGAATAATTATTCTATTTGGTTAAACACAAATTTACACTTTTTGTAATCTTAGACTTTAAGTAGAAGTAATGCTAGCTTATTCAATCAGTAAATCTATATATGTTTAAGAACATATCTAAGTAGAATAAAAATGTACACTTATAATATACTTAATGCTTGTAACTCAGAGAAAACATAGCTATTTTTATTAAACCAAAATTACTAAGCTAGTTTTGTTTGCCAGAGATTTATCGAAATTACGTGAACTTGAATTCTTAAAATTTCTTAGTTTCTACAAGAATGCCTCTTTCTTTTTCACATTAAAAGCATTAGAAATTCAATTTCTTTAATTTCTGGGAATTTTAGGAATATTTAATTTGTATAATTGCTTATTTGTCTCTAAGCCAATCAAAACAGAACTCCTCTAACAGATTTTATAATCTCATTTGGTAATACCATCCGGAGGTAGGAAAATGTTACACAGTCACACAATGAGAAGTAAAGGCCTTCTTGAAGTATAGTCATACAAACACACAGACACACCGACAGAGACAGCTTGGAGCTTCCATTCTAAAATTTCAGCCGTGGCTCAAGTGTGACCATGAAGTGGGTCACACAGCCAGAGAGTGGTGGAGCCAGGATCCCAGCCCTGGCAACCCGGCTGCAGGTGGGTTACATGGCCAAGCATCCCCCTTGCAGTAGTGCCACTTTACAGCAATGGAGAACAACAGCCCAGCTACAACAACAGCTTCCTCTTAGGAGAGGGGACTCAAGGAAACTTCCAGGGCAGCTCCAGACACTGACCACCTGTCAGGTACATGCCAGGGCCCACTGGACAGGATATTGAGGTGAAAGGTGACACCTACAAATCTCAAAGGTACTAGGTCAAGTATTCATTTCCTTGATCAGAAATTGGATTTGAGTTTCCTGGTCAAAGAATTCAATTGCCACAAACTCCGTCCTCTGAGGGGCTATACCGTGTCCCATTCCCTTCAGACCACACTCAGTACCACACTGATCTTTTGACCGGTAGTGCCCAACCAATGGCTGCAAAACTGCAAAAACAATACCTCCCTCTTCCAAGAAGTATTTTTGACCAACTATTCTCAAAACTAGTTGAACTTCAGGCTGACTTCTTAGGCTAAAGCTCTATACAATCTCCACCTTTCTTGTTCAAGGCAGAACACCACTTTAGAATGGTTCTCATGCTTCTGCATTCTGAATGAAGGCTTATGTATCACAGTGTTCTGATTGATTCTTCTACAGTTTCTGGTGCTGTGACCTGGACCCTCTGGTGCTCAGCCTGGATCAAATACAGTAGAAACTTTTGCCATCTCCTCTTCTGGGAGTTCCAGTGGCTGCACAGCTGAGTAAGACCTGCTGCTGACAAACGCACCACTCTCTTCTCTTGAGCATTCCCTAAGCCTTTATTCTTTCTCTTTATTGTCCTTGGTGTATCTTGATTTGAACTGTCTTGCACCATTCAGGGCTCTTATAACAGGGTGAGGTAGAGTGCTGAGACTATTATTTTTTTTACTTTTTGTTTTTTGGTAAGGAAGATCGGCTCTGAGCTAACATCTGTTGCCAATCTTTCCTCTATTTGCTTGAGGAAGATTGTCCCTGAGCTAACATCTGTGCCAGTGTTCCTCTATTTTGTATGTGGGACACCACCACAGCATGGCTTGATGAGCAGTGTGTAGGTCCACACCCGGGATCCAAACCCACAAACCCCGGGCCACGAAAGCGGAGCGTGCAAACTTAACCACTATGCCACTGGGCCGGCCCCTGGGCCCATTATTGTCTCTTGTTTGTTCTCATCATTTAAATATGGGCAATCATCAGTTATTCAATGAACTTTCCCGTTATTGTCCCACTTCTTACACGGATGTACAATATGGTGCAAATAGCACCAAATATGTGAAGCTCTGACAGGATTCTATCAAGGACGATTTAAAACTTCAGTGACCACTCTGGGGAATTCACATGTAAACAAAATTATTCACGCTCCTGGTGCCTTAGAATCAAAGGATTCAAAAATTCCAAATGATTTGATGGCAACATTTTTCTCTTGTTATAAAGAGGTCTCTGAAAGGCGGGAAAATTCTAAAATTGCTTCCCTTAAGAACTCTTAGAAAAGGCTAATAACAATCTAGAGAACCTAAAAATGCCAATTTCAAGGCTCCTCTCCCTCCTCTGACCAGCTCCACGTGGGCCTCTCTTTTCATCTCCTCCTGACCTTGACCCTTCCTCCCTCTTGCTCTGCCTTCCCCTGCCTCCTTCTGCACCACCACTGGGCTTCTTTTTCCTTCACTGCTCTTTCCTAAATACATTCCTCTCACTGACAATATCTCCTCACAATGGCTTATAATAAGGTGTGAATGAGGATCACCCCCTACATTAATGGACTTAGGAAAAAAAAAACCTTGGCCAAAATCAAATTTGCATAATCTAGTAAAAGACTTTCCTAACTTTCTGAAGGAAAGATAAAAATTTACCAAAAAATTTAGGATTATTCTAAAAACTTATAATCTGCCATATCTTTTTGTACCTAGAGATGCAAAACTTGAACAGAAAAGCCACGCAGACTTACCACCAAATTGTTAAATATTTGCATCAAAATTTGAGCACAAATGGATATTTAAAAGTTGTAAAAATAAGACCAGACCTCTTTGTAGCTTTCCGTGAAGTCTTTCCTGTAGAAATTGGTCAAAAAGCCAAGTTTGTAAACAGAAAGAGAATAAATCCATCCTAATTTCAGAGACCACTTAACTACCACCTTCCAGGAACACTTTAGTCAGATCCCGGGCGCGCACCGACGCACCGTTTGTCCGGCCATGCTGAGGCCGCGTCCCACATACAGCAACTAGAAGGATGTGCAGCTATGACATACAACTATCTACTGGGGCTTTGGGGGGAAAATAAATAAATAAAATTATTAAAAAAAAAAAAAAGAAAAAATATGTAGACAAAGTTAATAGCTCTTTAGATTAAGTAACTGGATAGAACTAGAACAAGGCCACCTCTATGTCTAGTCTAGACAAAGTCATCCGTTGGTCTTGTAAGGGAGAGGGACATTGGAAGAACAATCGCTCTGCTTTAGCCTGGAAGATAGGATCTACAAGGACAAAGGACGAAGTGTGGCTGCCAAAATGACACCTCTGTGCAGAAGTAGCTGCTCTGGTCTGCCCACAATTGCCCTTAACACAAAAGGGAGAGATTTCCATGCAGTTGCAAAACCAGAATGTTTTATTTCTGCCATAAACTGTACAAGTTTTCCATGATTCCTATCACTGCAAAACCCTAAACCCCACCACCCTTCTTGCCCTCCCAAAGGATGATGAACCTCATGATTCTCATGCATCAATTTGGGAGAATTCCTTGCCTCACTTTCATCTTTTTTTTAAAAATTTATTTATTTATTTATTTTTTCCCCCCAAAGCCCCAGTAGATAGTTGTATGTCATAGCACATCCTTCTAGTTGCTGTGTGTGGGACACGGCCTCAGCGTGGCTGGAGAAGCGGTGCGTCCGTGCGCGCCCGGGATCCGAACCCGGGCCGCCAGTAGCGGAGCGTGCCCACTTAACCGCTAAGCCACGGGGCCGGCCCTACTTTCATCTTGACTTTTAATTTAGTTCCATTGAGGTACAAGAACACACTTTGTATGATCTGAATTATTTTAAATTTATTGAGCTTTGTTTTATGTCCAGAATATGGTCTGTGCTATATGGTTCCATGTGTACTAAAAAAGAATATTCTTGTAAGAGTTTGGGTCAACTACACAGAGGTCACAGTCCCTAAGACGTTCTCACCTCTGACACCAACTGCAAGTTCAGGGTGTTCCCAAAACTACCCTCAGTTTCGATAACTTGCTAGAAGAACTCACAGAACTCACTGAAAATATACAGTACTCAGTTACAGCTTATCATAGGAAAATGATACAGATTAAAATCAGCCAAGCGAAGAAGTACATTGGGCAGCATCCAGAAGTACCAAATTCAGAGGTCCCATTTTCCTCTCCCTGTGGAGTCAGGATGTGCTGTTTTTCTGACATCAGTATGTGACAACACGCAAAGAAGTATTGCCTACCAAGGAAGCTCACTTGAGCTTCAGTGTCCAGAGTTTTTTTTTTTTTTTAATTATTTTATTGAGGTCAGGTTGGCTTATACCATTGTGTAAATTTCAGGTGTACATTATTATATACTAGTTTCTCTATAGACTGCATCGTATTCACCACCAACAGTCCAGTTTTTATCTGTCACCATACATATGTGTCCATTTACCCCTTTCCCCCTCTCCCAGAGTTTTCACTGGGGCTTCATTACATAGGCATGATTGATTGATTGCCCACCTGGTTGAATTCAGTGTGCAGGTCAACTGATACTGAGTGACCCAAAGCCCTTACCCTAAGATTATTGTGTGTGGCCATTGTCGCCCTAAGATCTGATGTGGCCAGCCTAAACAAAGACACTCCTGTCAGGTATGACACAGATTACCTCTTAGAAGCTGAGGGCAAAGGCCATACTTCTCTTTGGGCAAGGCCAAATTCTTTACTGCACAATTCTGTTGCTGTGTAGAATGTTCCACAAATGTCAGCTAGGTGAAATTGTTGATAGTAGGGCCAAGACTTCTATATCTTTACCTATTTCTATCTACTTGTTGTATCAATCGTTGAGAGACAGATGTTAAAATCTCCAGCTATAACTGTGGATTTGTCTATTTCTACTTTTAGTTCTATCAGTTTTTTCTTCACGTATGCTCTGCTATAATGTGTGAAGATTTAAGATTATTATGTCCTTTTGATAAATTGACATCTTCATCATTATGAAATGACCCTCTTCAACTTTGGTAATATTTTTTTATCTGAAATATACTTTGTCTGATATTAACATAGAAACTCCAGCTTTCTTTTCTTTTTTTGTAACAGCTTTATTGAGAGATAATTCACATACCATAAAGTTCATCCTCTTGAAGGGTACAATTCAGTAGCTTTTAGTATATTCACAGAGGTGTGCATCCATTACCGCTATCAAATTCCAGAACATTTTCATTAACCCCAAAAGAAACTCCACACCAGCAATCACTCCCCATTTCCTTCTACCCCCATCCCCTGGCAACTACTAATCTATTTTCTGTCTTTATGGATTGGCCTCTTCAGGACATTTCTTATAAATGGGATCATATAATATGTAGTTTTTTGTGTCTGGCTCCTTTCATTTAGCATAATGTATTGAAGGTTCATCCATGTAATAGCATGTATCAGAACTTTATTTCTTTTTATGGCAGAATAACATTCCATTGCATAGATATACCATTTATCAGTTAACAGATATTTGGGTTATTTCCATTCTTTGACTGTTATGAATAATGATGATATGAACATTCATGTATAAGTTTTTGTGTGGACATATGTTTTCAATTCTCTTAGTATATACCTTCTCTTGGGTGTGTAGCTAGGAGTGGAATTGCTGTGGCCTATGGTAACTCTATGTTTAACTTTTTGAAAAATTGCCCAGCTCTTTTCCAAAGCAACTGCACCATTTTACATTTCCAATAACAATATATTAGGGTTCCAAATTTACCTTGCCAACACTTGTTATTGTCCTCATTTTGATTATAGCTATCCTAGTGGGTGTGTAGTAGTATTTCACTGTGGTGTTTTTTTTTTTTTTTCTGTGAAGAAGATCAGCCCTGAGCTAACATCCATGCTAATCCTCCTCTTTTTGCTGAGGAAGACCGGCTCTGAGCTAACATCTATTGCCAATCCTCCTCCTTTTTTTTTTCCCCCAAAGCCCCAGTAGATAGTTGTATGTCATAGTTGCACATCCTTCTAGTTGCTGTATGTGGGACGCGGCCTCAGCATGACCAGAGAAGTGGTGCGTCAGTGTGCGCCCAGGATCTGAACCCGGGCCGCTAGTAGAGGAGCGCGTGCACTTAACCGCTAAGCCATGGGGCCGACCCTCATTGTGGTTTTGATTTACATTTCCTTAATGACTATAGTGATGTTAAGCATTTTTTCATGTGCTTATTAGCCACTTGTGTATCTTCTTTGGAGGAATGTCTATTCAAATTCTTTGCCAATTTTTTTTTTCTTGGTGAGGAAGATTAGTCCTGAGCTAACATCTGTTGCCAATCCTCCACTTTTTCCTGAGGAAGATTGGCCCTGAGCTAACGTCTGTGGCCATCTTCCTCTATTTTATGTGGGACGCCTACCACAGCATGGCTTGAAAAGCAGTGCGTAGGTCCGTGCCTGGGATCCGAAACTGCAAACCCCGGGCCGCCAAAGCGGAGCATGCAAATTTAACTACTACACCACTGGGCCAGCCCCCCTTTGCTCATTTTTAAATTGGGTTATTTGTCTTTTAT